TGAAAACGCGTTCAATTTTAGCTTGTAAACCCTCTAGAAGTCACAATTCTAGATGGATTTTGACGAAACTTGGTGTGAGTGTTTGTAATCACCCAAGGATAAACCCTATTGAAAATCAGAAAAAATAAAAAAATATTTAGTTTTTTAAAGATTGAACACGTTTTCTAGAACAAGGGCAATAACTCATACTCAATATTAGTCAGTACCGCCCTAAAGAGTTAAAAATAAGTGTATGACTGAAGGTTGAATATTTCATACTGTACTGCTAAATATTTTTATTCAAAATCAAAGCTGCCAGTGGGCGTATATTACCTTGCCTGGCAAGCTATCTTTGTCTCGACAAGACATATTTTTTGGTCATTTCGGGGAATAGGTAGAGTTCGGACCTTTACACCCAACGCCGCCATCGGTTTCAAAGGTAACGGTCTCTGAGGGCGTCAACTAAATATAACCGTATAGTCCTACAGGATAAAAGTTAAATTAACTGTGATCTGAAGCATTGTTGTTTGACTCCCTTGACTGTTAAAGGAGATAATTACTCTTCTGTTTGGGAGGCTCATTCAGTCATTTCTAATTGAAATAAATATACAACTTTTTTGGAATTAGCTGTTATATTTTTCTCTCTTCGGGTAAATTATCGCTTTTATTTTACTTAATTCTATATCAGAATGTTTATTAACTATCCATATTCATGCTCAAAATAGGAATAGGTGTTGACAGTTCTTGTCATGTGAAAACGTAGTCAATTTATGGAGTGTAGAATTGGGCCTTTTCGTATGACGTAGGTTAAAGGAAGGCCCAGTAAATGTTATTTTCCTCCTCATAAATTATATTGAATATGAATGTCAGTATAAGTAGAGGGAGTCAATCTGGATGTTATGCCCTGCAAATTTCAGTTTTCTGTGCAGCATACATTGAATGCTAGGAAATGAGCAAAATTTGGTTGATGCTATTATGGCTCTGTAGGCTAACTGTGGGTGTTTTTGATCTGTATTTTGCCCTCTTTCAGGAATAATGCCCATAGCAAAGTCAAAATTCCTTAACTAAGAAGGCATAGGCCCTATTCAGTTTTGTTTTTCTAACATGTAGAGATAGTCAATGTGGATGTTACTTGCATATTTCGATTTGATGCTATTTTGAA